TTCAGCTCTGGTAAGGAAAAACATTAGGTTCCCAGAACTGAGTCACCTTTCAAACAAAATGCAACAGTAGTGCCACAAACAGGAAAATTGCTTTCTGTCAAGAAAAAAGGTGACTCCAGTCTAGGAAATGCCCTTCAGCCACCCCTGACACACAGTCTGTACCACTCCACCGCAGTGTTGCTCTGAGGACAATATGGACTGCATTCATGGATTATAATCAACAGTTAGAACTGCAACTGTCCGCTGTCTGTTACTGTTTGGCTCAGTACTTATAATTCAGCTGCTTATCTATTCTAAGGGCTGATTCTGTGTCTTGTGTTTCCTATCTTCCCCAAACATAACTGCTGTAGCTGATGAGATTGCTGATAGCAGACTTGTGTAACTGGAAAAACAGCAAGCCATCACTGAGAATAAGAAGTGTTGTGTATGTTAAGGAAACACTTAACAAGCCTTTGACATATAGCTGTGTTCATTATGTTGCTTAATCCTGTAACCTGGTGGCACCCATGATGGATGTTATGGCCCAGTGATAAAATGGCTTGGCTGGAGTAGCTGTGGCTGTAAAAGAGTAGGGTGGTCTTTATATCCACAGCCATGCTGCCCTCTTCTGATTCCATTTGATAGTGCATAGAGGACCATGCTGCCAAATTTCACCTGACCTTTTGTCTGTCACCACTGTCAGGCTGAAGTTCTTCCTTGGCCATCACTTTGGTCTGTGATAAGGTATCTTGAAAACTGAACTAAAAATGGGCAGCGTGAGGATTTGAGCAACTTTGACATGGGCCACATTATGATGGCTAGACGACTGGGTCAGAGCATCTCCAAAACTGCAGCTCTTTTGTGGCATGTCTGCAGTGGTCAGTACCTATCAAAAGTACTACAAGGAAGAAAGGCTGTGAACCAGAGACAGGGTCATGGATCGGACTACACAGGCCAGCCATTGCTCCCCACTTGCATCAGTGAGCTTTGGCCGCCCAACAGACGAGCTACTGTAGCTCAAACTGCTGAAAACGAATGCTGGTTCTGATAGAAAGGTGTCAGAACTGCATAACATTATGACCACCAGGGTGCCTAGGGGGTCATAATGTTATGACTGATCAGTGTATATACTGTTTTTCTCAGTTAATTAGTTATTTTAAGATGTTTTCATGAAAAAAAATCAGTTTTTCTGAAGTAACGAGATACCTCCAGCAGGATCTCATAGCCCCCCTGAGCTTGATCCAGATCCCCAAAGCCTCAAGCATGGCAAGGCCCCTAGCCTTCACAGTGAGGTTGGTGTGGCCTGCGCTCATGGTAGAGTGCCTGTTATCAGCTGTCCACACATATGTATACACATTAACTAGTTTTCCTTTTTAATTCCTTCCTTTTTTTGCTACTTTACTTTGTTCTATTTTATTTATAATTCTATTATAATTTAAATGATTTAAATATTTGTTTATACAAACTGACAGCGGCTTATAAACTTTGATAGCCTATTTGCAGTTTCATCAGTCTAATTCTGAAAAACTGGCCCGTGAATTAATTTTGTCTCTCTGACACCATCTAGTGGTCTAGTCAGAACATGACACTGCAACTGCCTCATATACATACGTACATAATGTATGGTAGGTTCCTTCCTTGAGTCAGTGCCCTTGACCAAGGCACTGGCTTAGATCTGGAGGTGGTCCCTGGGCACTCTACAGTGGCTGCCCTTTACTTCTAATATTCGGGATGGGTTAAATGCAGAGGACAAATTTCACTATGCGTTGTGTATTATGTGTATTATATGATTGTATATGTGATATTAAAAGTGGATTCTATTCTGTTCTAGTTCACTGCCCTGGCAAGGGGAGTTCAGCACTGACTCACATATATAGCAAAAAAGTGCCACAGATGGAAAAACCCACAACAGAGATCAGTATTGTTTGTTTTGTTACCATACAAAAAATATCATGTGTCCAAATACTTACTATCTCATACTAGTTTGGCAGCTAATATACAAAAGTATTTGATATCATGAAACTATCAATATTAAACATTTTCTAGTTTTATTGTCTGTCATATTGTTTAGAGAGATGGTTCCAAACCTGTCATGACTCCTCCAGTGGGTTCGAGGATCCAATATGATTAGGAGAGAAGGAAACAATTCTGCTACATACATTTATCTTGTGAAATACTGGATAGTTTCACCATTTTTGGTTGCTGAGAACTTAACTGGGTACTGGGTAGAGCTGTTCACAACTGGTACATATGTTCAGCGTGTTTATTCCTTGCTATTTTCTTTTTTAAATTGATTTTGAATTCATTGCATTGTTTCTGAGCCTTTAAGATCTGATTTATATGCTCTTTATTGTGAACAAAGACAGACTGTACTGGGTGTGTTTCACAATGCCGTCTCATCAACCTCCTGTGTGTTGTCTGTAGCTCGGCATTCCTTTGGTTTCCATCTATACACCTGTAACTCATGTTTTGACCCTGATGCAGGCTTTCAGCTGAAACTCATGGGTGTCTGCAATGCAATATTAAAGGCTCTTTCGTTATACTCAGTATAAGGAGCTCGACCTTCACTTTAAAACTGTGCAACTGCTGGTGAACAGAAGACACTGAGGCCACAAGTGGAAATAACTAGTTATTGCCATAATTTATTTTCAGAATTCTTTAAATATTAGACAACCTGACTGAGAGTGGGTTGAAGCAAATAACTACAAACAAGTCTCCTGTGTGAAGTGTGGCGTGTCAACGTCTTTTTTGATAAAACCCAATAAAATTATCTGACGTGCTAAAACTGGTGTAATTATAGCATACGTAGGGAATAGTTGTATAATCAGCAAACAGAATATTTATATCTTAACGTTACCCACCATAAGCAACTGCTCATACCAGACGAAGTAAGACTATAGCACCAAAATCCCTGAGTGCCTTGAATAGAGCAAGGGTGCCTTTTATTTCTTATGAATTCAACTTTTAATTTGTAGGAACAAGATTGTGTTTTTTTATTCTTTCAAAAGGTTTTGTAGTTGCACTTTAAGGGGCAACAAACCTAAAAGGTCTGGAATGGCTGGTAAATAAATAATAGAGAATTATGTGACAGTGTTGGCCGTGTAGATTTTGTAATTTATATTCGTCCATGTTGTTTGGGATATATATTTTTTTACAGTCTTTTTTCATACTATCAGACCCATACAAACACCAACATTTCCATAATAATGGTAGTGTCACAAATTCAAATAGGTCCTAAGTTGTCACTCTTTACCTTGAATGAGTCTTTTATGTGAAGTATAATATGTTCTGAATTATGCATTTTGAGTAGTATGTAGGCATACATCTATTTAAACGCACCATGGAACAACACAAGAAAACAGCAGTGCACTGATCTTTAAAATAGATTTTATTTACCATTTTGTAATTCAACAGTTTACGATATACAGCTGACAGGACTAAGACATTACAATGGATTTTGGCCCTAAAGGTTGAAGAACAAGAAGAACAGACATGGTTAGATAGATAGACAGATAGATATGATAGAGAATACCAGAAGAACTGTGTTCTCTTTTCTCACTTGTGCTTTTCCTCGCCACTCCTGCCATGAAACAATTTACATTGGCATAGCAACGACACAGAATTTGTCCACTGACACTGGGACAGTTTCTTTCAGCCAAAAAAAACCCACTTTTTTTTTTACTGTACTTGTTTTCTTTTTTTCAAAATGGAAGTGAAATATTATTTTCATTTTAGATTATTTTCCTGTTGCTTACATAAAAACGAATGATTTTCTTTAAAGTGCTGAAAGATGAGATTATGCTTATATGAGCAGTAGTAGGAAATTCAAGAGGTAATGTTCTGCAATTTACAGAGAACCACGGAAACAAGGTAAAATCACAGTTTTGTTTCTTAGTACAGTAGAGCAGTTGTGCTGTGAATTTGTGTATAAAAATGATCCGAACCTTCACGTAGTTCACGTTCTTCAACATCAGTGACTTTCTGCACAGCCACCTCAGTCCAAGATGATAGTAGGCAACAGTATATTAGTATTTGAAGACATGGGTCAGTTATTAACTGTTGTCAATTGTGTGTTTTTCTAGCTTTGCTGGAGGACCAAATATGTCTTTTGTCTTTTGGTAGCCAAATATTTGAAGTTTTGCTTTACTAACAAGATAAATAAATCAAAATATCATAGTAACTTGACCCTTGCCTGATACATATATATCATATAATTGCCTAAAATGCCCACATAAAACAGTATTCTGTTCTGGTATTATGCATCAGAGCTGCACAAGAATGAAAATGTGAGTTAATGGGTCCTGATGCTAATTCAATCTTGGTTGAAGAGTAATTTTGGTGTTTTGATTTTGCTAATTTTTTTTAACAATCGTAAAAACTAGACAGAAAAAAGCCAAACTGCTTGGATTAAGGGCCACAGAATATTAAAGGTAAACAGCGATGTACGACTGTTGGCACTGAACTGTGTAAAATATAGCTTCAAGTTCACGCGATACTGTTTTTTTTAAAAAAAAAAAGCATCGTCATGTAGCTGCAGCCGCCATCCACACCACAAACTATCCACTCTTCTGTAGTTCAAGTTTCGATCCAAAGTTTTTGTTTGGAAATGCTTTTAATATTAGCTGGCTTTATCTTAATGTTTCTATGAATACAACATCAAAAACAAACAAACAAAAAAGTAGAGTCATTGAACATGGGTAAACAATGATTAAAATCTGAAGATAAAATATGTAGTTTTCTTTCTCTTCTTTTAGTACAAAATGTTTTTCTTTCTTAAAAGATAGACTGTGTATTATTAGCAGAATAGGACATGGCTAGTTCTGATAGATTAGAGGTACATTGACATCAATACTGACACTACGCCTGCTCTACATGCAGGCTCAGCAGTACGAGCTAATCCACTACACACAGAGTACACAGTACACCTGACATCGTCTACATTACACTACAAGAAAAAATGACAAATCAAAAACAAATTGAAACAATACCCGCCCTCCCTCGACCCGCAAAAACACACTTAACCCACCCCTAAAATAAAAGCAAAGATAAACACACACATACACACAGTCCGATTATATATTTTTTTACATTACTGTACAAAGGGAGGAAGAGTTGTGGGGCCAGCCGAGATGGTGAGGGCTGGGATATATAGAGAGATAGCATGGTAACATGGCTGCTAAGCTTACTACAGCATGAACGCACAAGACAGGCAATCACAAACAGGAAACGATCTGAGCTACAAGCTGTCCCAATATACACTGACAATAATAAGTTCATATTCACCATTTTCAGCAAATGAAACCTCATTTAGAGAGTGTAACCTTCCTCAGACCGGAATTACTTATATATTTAGAGTATTTAGTAGATGGTAATAATGTATTGTTTCATAGAGCACCTGGTTTTGCAGTAATTTAATTAAAAGTAAACTGTACTACTACTACTACGCTCACTGTGCTTACTTATTTTGACTATATTTCAGCTTCTGTGCTTAGCGTCGACCCCTCCCATTGTTGCTTTCTTGACATTTAACATTTTCAGCCACAGAAAGTCTTGTGTCTGTTGGGCTTTTTTGTATTTAGTTCACAGTTACTCATCTGTAAATGTGCCTTTACTACCCTGAGTGTCAGCATCAACCCACCTTGTGAATTTGGTGGAGCAACTGCACCGTCATGTCAAAGTCAGTATCCTGATACGATTGTGGGGAATAGTGGTGCTGGCCAAAAAGACGGTACAGATTTAGTCTGAAGCTTCAATGTCTCTAAAAACTGTTAAAAAGCCTGATTCGCATAGACATTTTAAAGTTATTAAAAGAGTAGTTCAAAATGTTTGGGATATAGGCTCATTTGCTTTCTTGCCGAGAGTTAAGATTAATACCACTCTTATGTGTGTACATAAAATATAGAGCTGGGGCCACCATAAAGACTGGAAACAGAGGAAATCTACTGTATATCTTGGTCGGGACCAGTTGCCAGGCAACCAGCAGGTGTTTTTGTGCGTTCATTGGTAGGTAGATTTTGGACAAAGCAGGTCTTTACGCTAAGCTAAGCTAGTCAAGTGCTGTACCATACAGACAAGTGTGAGTGGTATCAATCTTTTCAGTTAACTTTCAGCAAGAAAGCAAATAAAAATGTTTTCCCCCAAATTTTAAAACTACTCTTTTAAGTCTCTCTACACATAAATGGTAAACTGTGTATCATTTTGTATCATGTGAATCTGTTCCATGCTCGTACTGGTATCATAGCCCTCTTGTTCCCCTAACGTCTTTGATTTTATTGATGATTTGACAGCTCACACGGAAAGAAAAACTGAAATCTGCAACTTGAAGTAGCGTTACAGCCAGACCTGTCGCAAATCCCAAACATCCTCCCTGTCCATGAAGCTAAAAGCATCTCACTACCACCTGAGCCGGCGTCCAAAAAAAGCATCTTAGGATGAAAAAACAGGAACATGTGATCTTCCCATGAAGATGTCTAGATGACAAAAAAATAAACTCTTTATGTATTTGTTCTGTATTTAGACTGCCATTAACCCTTTGCCATCACACTACTAAGAAGTTACCCTGGATGCTTTCCAGTCAGACACCTAACCCTGCATGCTAAAGAGACCCCTCTCTGTCCTATCACACCCTCCAACAAAACAGCAACAAATCAATTCACAGACGAGGAATAGTAAACATGGTTAATTATGATTCTGTAGTTTTTTTTATTTTTGTACAAAATAAACATATGCTGTCTTTAAAATTATTTACTACGGTAAGTTACTTTACAATAATGAGAGGTAAAAAGGAGAATTCTACTGAGAGAACAATACTATATAGCTACATTTAAAACTACATAATTTCTTTAAATTGATTTTTATTCTGTATTCTTATAGAAACAAGCCGCATGTCTCTACTCTCTGTCTTTCCAGTCACAGCTTGGCTCAGAGCTTTAAAAGAAATGCCTGTAAATACATTAAAGGTTCCACTGACTGTAAGAGACACCACAACAGTCTCTCTGAGTTATACAGTATATATGTTACCAAAAACATGTGCAGGACTCAGGTAACTCAGGTAATGTTTTTGGTAACATGCCTTAACGGGGCAGATTGCTACAGCCCACGGGAGACACAGACTACGACACACCTATGATCCCTCCACTCGCTACCTCCTCTAGCCCGGATCCTCCTTCATAGACCACATCCCAAGATGCATTTCACTCAAAAAGAATGCCTGGAAGACTTGAGAAGAGATGGCACTTCTATATACAGAGCTGCATCCACCTGCTTTGTGTGTATGTGTAGGTGTTTTTTCGACAGCGGGAAAAGTTCGGTGGTTTCAGTCCCTATAGTCGAGACAAGGTTTCCACAGGCAAGGAACAGCAATGAACCACAAAGTTTACCTTCGCTTGGACCCTGAGAAATGGGCACTGGGATCTCTTCTGTCAAAAAAACTGGAAACTAATGCTTTGTGTGTGCGTGTGTGTGTGTGTGTGTGTGAAAATGTGTGTGAATGCGGAGGCAGAGAGTACAGTACGGTTCACTGATATTTCTCTGCTCAGTTTAAGCAGCTTTAGTTGAAAAAAAGTTACAAATAGAGGAAATTTCCACAGAAAATCAGCCCTAAGTGTCAGTCGCCATCTCGGGTGTTTGTTAAATATTTGTGCTCTTGTAGAGTATTTTTAAAGAAGAAGCAGCATAAAAAAACAACAGGCTTAGTCTTAAGCTGAGATCAACTACGGTTGAGGTCACTGTGTGCTGTAAAATGTACAATAGTGTGAGTGTATGAGTGTGAATGAGAGTATCTGCCTCTTTTTCTGGCCGTAGAATTGAGCCTATTTCCATCTTTCAGCATCATCAAACCGCAAATGGCCAGTACAGGCACAGTTCACCCTGCTCCTCTTTGTTACAGCACCACTGTGCATCACAACAAGTCCCCAGCTGTCAAATCACTGCTGCTAGAAAATCACCGATACCAAACAGACCCAGCTAACAGAATAAAGGAGAACAGTGTGTGTCTCTATGTTGCTGCATGCACCAAACAAACTCATGCAGCTTCACAATCTACTGCACCTCTAACTGCATATGAAGATGACATATACAAGTTTTACAAAAAAAGGAAAGGAAAAACAAACTGCATTATTAAATTATGTGTAACAAATTAACAACCCACCCACGCACACACAATAACATACACACAAATCTTTTGGATGATGACCCAATTTTTTCTTCCTTTCATTTTTTTTTTTCATTCCTTTATCTAGAGACAACACACAGATAAGACAGAAGAGGTTAGGATAGATATAATAAGCCCTTACAATATGTAAAGGTCTCCAGTGAATGGGATCTCCCCCACAGAGGACTGTGGGAAAGTGGGGTGAGGATGGAGGAGAAGGGAGGAGAAGGGAGGAAGAGAAGGAAGAGACGGTGGAGCACAGGGGCCCGCGCCCACTTGCACTGACAGGGCAGGGTGCCGTCTATGCGCTGGGGTTGGGGTTGTTGTGTGTGTTGGTGGAGCCGTTGCTTCCCTGGATGGTGAGGCTGATCTCATCCTTCCTCTCCGTCTCCTTCTCCTTCTCCTTCTCCTCCGCCTTCAGCTCTTCCTTCAGCTCCTCCTTCTCCTTAAGGGGCCGAGCCTCCACAGTGTCTTCGGAGGCCATGGGGGCGTAGCGGCCTGTCCGGTGCTCCTGCAGGGCAGGGCCCCACTTTGGATGTGCTCGGCAAGCGAACTTCAACCGCTGACGAAGAAAAAGAAAGGAGGGACACGTCATTCAGAGCAGCCTCAGTATGGAGGGAGACTGACCCCCTCGTACATCCGGACTGCAAAAAATGAATCTCAAGCAAGTAAAAAAAAAACCTTTGTTTCTTCTAATACTAAGCTAGATTTAATCAGTTACACCAATGGTTTGTATAATATCCCAGCAGAGGAACAAGATGTTGGAAATAAAGCAGCTGTTTAGTTTTTCAGTTTGAATGAAAATGCTTCTGGTGCTTTCATATTAGACACTTATCTTTATTCTTTACTTATTAACTTCACTGCCAGATGCCATTGAATCCTACACACTGGTCCTTTAAAATTCAGGAATTTGAAACTCCTGTTTCCTAGCTAAGCCCAGCCATACATGTAAGATCCTTTCCTACTAGCAGCTGATCTGTGTTTAGTGAGACTACATTTTACCAAGCAATGCAAGAAGCAGGGATTTTTCAATTCAGGACATATACATATGATCACAAAAAATATACAGATTTGTTAAATTAATGAATGACATGTCAGTTTGTTGTTGCTGTGGTATAGTGTGGCGTAATAATAGGTTGGCATCCTAAACGTTCCACATTTTCAAAGCGGAGATGCCATGGAGTCTCACTCTATTAGGAGAAACAGCTGTAGAGGGTGCTGTACCTCTCTGAAGGTGGCTCCTGGGGACCTTGAGATCTTGTAGAGGGCATAGACAGGTATGCAGACCACTGAAGACAGAGCCATGGAGAAGCCAATAGCCAGAGACCAGCCGGGATACACATAGTCATTGTAGGTGATGGGCTTGTACTGGATCACTGTGAAGATCAGGATGAACTACAGACAGAAGAGAGGATGGGTAAGTACAGGCTTTTATCATTAAGAGCAGCAAAATCAGTTTCACAATAACACACCATCCTGGTTACAGTTGTTCCAAACAAATGGCTGCTGTTGCTACCTACAGTCAAAGTAAAAAACATTACTTCCTGTCCTTCAGTTTTCAGAATCACACACAACTCGGCACAGGTGAAATCACTGTAGACTGCAGCACAACAGACATTTGTTTTTACTTAAAACTTGCATATAATTATGGTTATAAATCATGACTGTTCCCAACAGCAGTGAGTTTAGTCACAGTTCTAGCAAAGGCCCTGGAGAGCAGGGCATTAATCTGTGTAGTGAAATGAAAGAGAGAACAAAAGTGCCTGAAATCTGTCCAGTAATCCACAACAATGAATTTCTTGGTTGGCCCAGCGGCTTAGTGGACTAATACTGCCGCCTGCTTGGGAATTACCATTGATAGCAGCTGCATGTGTCCATTTCCCAGTCAGAAAGATTTGCTTTTAGAGGTTTACATTGGAAACAAAGCCAACAGTAGCCAAACAGATTAGTGTCAATGGCCACTCAAATGTAGGTCAGGTCCCTAACAATATGTCAGGAAAGTTTAGAAACTAACACTCCACATCCTTCAGGTCGCTACGTCAACGTGCGGTTTGTTTCCTGCTACAAGCTAATTTCCACACACGTTCATGTTCCAGGAGACAGGGAGGTTAATGAGACTGCTATGAATTAAGTTTTGATTGCACTTTGAGTCACTCCGACTGCGGTCCCTCATCAGCAGCTGAGTTTGCATGCGTGTGTGTTCACTTACGGAGATAATGACAGGGGAGATGAATCTCCAGCAGACTTTGAAGAAGAGAGGAGGAGGGAAGCCCAGCATCATCTCAACGTCTCTAAAGTAGTTCCTGTGACCTGTGATAAGAAGAAAAGGTATCCAGTAAGATTACATTTGAACAATAAAATACAACACACGCATAAAAGTTATAAAATTGAGGGCATGGTCTCTCTCTAGCTCCTTTATCTTCAGCTGAACAACACCCTCACTTTATTTGGACTGGTATGAAAAAGCCATCTGTCTGTGATTCCAAGAGTGATTTTGTGACTTTGGTTTATTTTATCTTTTCTTTTCTTTTTCTACTAAAATTGGTGACATAGTCCAGTGGTTTTTCAACTGGCATCCAGGGACAAACTGGAGTCATTGAGTTGGCTGTAGGGGGTCCTCAGCAAAAGGCGGAATAGGATATTTTAACATTTATCACAAAGGGAAAAAGTAGGGTTGGCTGTTTTAATTCATTGTAATTTATGGTGATCCTAATTGTTTTTTTTCATAGATTGACTATGATCTTCAAACCTATAAAAAATACTAAGACAAAATTATCTCAAATTGGAGGTCTGTGGTATATAGTGCATCTATTGTGGAGGTACTTCACAAGAAAAAGTTTAGGAACCCTGATGTTATGGGCAGAACTCCTCTGTTAGTACCATGACCCAAATCCATGGTACTTGATTTATCAGCAGCACTCGCAGGGAGAAAGGTTAGACTATGACTTTAATAAAACTGCCCTTCAGACTGCTTTCAGACCACAATAATAATAAATCAAAGGAATTTCAAAGGTGCTAATGCAAAATTAAATACAATTTGTTGGACAGATTTGTGGAAACTGAAAAAAGGGAGTTGACTTTAAATTACTGTAAGTTGTAAGATAATATCAGCACACTTAACTCCACTGCCTGTTCATTTTCCACCACGGGCTCAGGTTAGTGTGACTGTATCTGGCTGCAGGCTGAGCTAAGAACTTCACCAGTGTAAAATGACTCCATGCTCAATTATGATAAAGGCTGAAGACCATCAGTAGACCAGCCTTTGCTCTGTAGCACCCTGCCACAGTGCTGATCCTGAGACTCGTGCGGGTGTGGGAGATGTCTGGCTGCCTGACAGTGAGAGGGAAGATTCTCACTTCAGTCCTCACAGGGGGTCCTCAGGATTTGCCATTTGAGACATACATTGAGTTTTATTTTAGGTAGTGTTTTAGGGCAACACTCTGGCCTTCTCATTGCTGATATCAGACTGTGGGTTTGTTGCTAACTTGTGCTGATGAAGTCTAGACTAAGACTGGGCTGAGAAAAACTGCCACATAGCTTGTTACAACAAGGTAGAAAATGCCAATTATTATATTACTATTATATCAGTATTGCCTCCTAGCATATACTCAGTAACGCTAATTCATTTTAATATGAATCCTATGTCTGTACCGTGTATGTGTGTACACAAAGACACTGCGGTTTTATCTCAGGCAATTGTTATGTATGTATCTGTTGTACGTTTATGTATGTGTGTTTTTGTCTGTTCTCCCTGTGCTGTGTCGTGTTTCCAGCAGTGTCAAAAAGTGTAGCCTAGGGGACCATAACTATCTTAATGCTCCACTGTAGGTGTATGGATGTGCAGCGGGTGCAAAAAAGGAAAGGGAAAGTAAAAGGAGGAATGGTTTTCATAGTCTCGCAGCACATACTGAAAACATGTCCTGAGGCAGCACTGTGTGCTGGCATAGTGAGCCTGTCATTGGTGGAGAAAGATCAGTATCTCTGCCTCTTGTACAGTGCAATGTGGGTGAGTTTGCTGTAATTGTAACACAGAAGTACGCGACAAGGTATGTTAGAGTTCTGTCCTTGTTTACTGAACTTTCCTCTCTTAAACAACTGTCTACATCCTTTATTTCGCTCTTATTTGATTCAGACAAACTGTCATTTACCACTGATGTCTGCTTCAAGACTTTGAAACAGCTGTACAGAAAGTCATTATGTCCAGTCGTCTACAGAGATAACAGACCACCAAACCAGAAATAAACCCAAAATTGCAAACCTAATAGTCAATATGTCAATAAAGTGTCCCAGCAGAGGTTTTTCTCTTGAGGTTCTTGTCATAAATTCACATGAGAGCAATATACTTCCCACATCAGGGCATTCAGTCGTATTTCCCTCCTTACCATAGACATACATGACGCAGATGCACATTATGCAGGAGATAATGACCAAGGAGAAACTAGCTGCATAGTTGTCCATCAGTAGCAACCAATAGATTCCTGCCTGCACACAGAAAACAGAGAGTGAGCCAAAACTGCATCTCGATGAAAGAAAGCAAGTTGCATTCAAAGACCTCAGAGTGTTTGGGGCTTACCTGTGTCGTTAGTGGCACGCCCAGTAAGAATCCAGCTACGGCCACTGACAGCGTGACTACGGTCTTGTTCCTGATGATCCAGTCTGTACCAATTTCATCGACGATGGCCGTCACGAGGGTCTCCAGCAAACAGAACTGTAAGAACAGGGACGAAAGGTCTATGGATTCAATTAAATGATGAGAGATGAGATTGGACAGTTGTTGCTCAAATTTCTTCTTACATGACGAGAACAGGGGTTCCACAGTCTCGTTACAGATGACTGGAGATGGGTTTTATATGTTAACATTATACAAAACCATTGCTGAGGGATAATGAGCAGAGGCTAAATAACATTGTAGAAAGACTGAAATTTTCAAAGGAAAAGTTCCTGTTCAACATGTATGAATAACAAATGTATATTAATATTCATCATCTCAGCTGAAACACAGTCTATGTCAAACATCTGGGTAACCATGAATGGTTTTGTTGCTGATCTGAATAGGACAAAATATTAAACAGGCCAATATTGGAAAAATATGGCATAACACTTGACACACTTTGGCCTGTGTGAGAGCTGGGAATATTAAAAACAGGCTCCTTGAGCCAGTGATAACTAGTACCCATAAACAGATCTGCAGATCTAAATCAGGTCTATTGATTGAGGTCCCATTTACAGCATCAACATGGAGCTGCACAACACCACTGCACCACACAACCTCACCTGAGTCCCCAGTCCCAGAAGGATGAGCATGAAGAAGAAGAGCAGCGACCAGAGTGGTGAGATGGGGAGCAGAGTGAGGGCTTCTGGGTAGGCCACGAAGGCCAGGCCCGGGCCGTGGTCCGCCACCTCTGACACAGGGACGTTCAGGTTGTGTGCCATGAAGCCCAGGATGGAGAAAATGACAAAGCCGGCATACACGCTGGTCGCACAGTTGGTTATACTGATGATGATGCTGTCTCTGTAGGTAGGAAAAAAATTGTTGGACATTAATTAAACTGCTGGAAAAGAAAATGGGATACATTTACAATTTGAAACCAGTGTACCCAGCAACATTGTCATCATATAGTTATATTGTCATTTTGCACAGAGGGCATAGGACTACAGAAAACATACTTTTCAACTAGAATTATATAAATGAAAGGATGAGCTGTTCTGCTATGTGATTCATTCTTCACTGATTTTACAAAAAGGTTAATAAAAAAAACATTCCTCTCCTATCTCCCCAGTTAGGACCACTCCCTCTATTCCCCTTTCCCCATCATCCAACAAGTGGGTGAGATTTGGTTCTGATCCAGGTTATAATCACTGATATTAACACCAGTACAGACTAATGTCCTGTAATCTATGAGGTGAATGCATTATAAAAAGGTTTTTTTCATAATCAGCAAATGATTTACCAAACATTAAGCGAGCTTATTAGTCAATCCCATGCAGGATTACAGTACAGGGACTACTGTAAGAAGAGTGTTGATGTCCCAACGATGTGACTTAGACATAGTATCAGTATTGATAGTATCAGTACTTTTGGTATTAGTTTAGCAATCTGCAAACTTGACTACATCAAACAGCACCTTGTAAATCCACAAGATCTTCCTTTAATGTTTTTAAGTATAAGAGTTTTATCTCTAGGACAGGGAAAATTGCAAAAATTGGTTTCCAAATACCAATATAGCTACGGTTTGTGCTCTCAGAAACAGAAATTTACTTGTACTTGTTTGAAGAAGCACCAGTTTCATCTTTACTCTCCCTGACTCAGACTTGGACTTTGACTTTGTTCAGACTTAACAAGGGAATTGGGTGGTTGCCCAGTGCCTTGTCTCCTCACATTTCCTGTTAAGAGTTATCACAGAGGATGTCTTTGATGACTTTGATGCCAGTTCCTTTCTCAGCTCCCCACAAGCCACCAATCAGACCCCTGCTCCGTCCTACACTCGCTGCTGCACTTCTGCATGTGCACCAATTGGTGGTGTTACAGGAGTGCAGAGAGCGGCTCCACAGGGACGGCGCTGCAGAACACAAGCTGATTAGGCCGCCGTGCAGCTGTGTGCGTAGATAGCACAACCTCAAACTCCTGGCAGAGGAACAAATTATATCTTCAGCCTTCCTCCTCGCCCCCTCCACTCCCACCCACCCCCCTGACGCCCTCACTCTGTCAGCATGTGTGGACAAGCTCAGGAGAGTAAATGACATCTTTCCCTCTCTTTATCTCCTCTGTCCCCTCTCCTCCATCTTAACCTTCTCCTGGCTTCTCGCTCGATCCCCTGACGTTCAAGCACAGTGCAACCAGCCTCTTAACATGAGTCTAAAAAAACATTATCTCTGTCCCTCCTCCTGTCCTACCTTATCTCACCTTCTCCCTCTTCTCTTTTTAGACCTGTAGCCTTGAAGTTGGCTCCTGACTATTTTACCCTCCTCCTCTCACTTTCTCCATCACTCTCAAGCCCTGACTCATAGAGGAGTTGCCACAACCTGAGGCAACTTGTCTTGTAAAGCTAGCAGCCTGTTAGCTTAAATTAGCAAAAATACTGGAAGCAGGGGGAAACAGCTAGCTTGGGTAAAAAGTAAAAAGTCCACCTACCAGCATCTCTAAAGGTCACTAAGTAACACTTTTTGTTTGTTTAATCCATACAAAAACTGAAGCGTAAAAATGACACGTTTTTTTATGGGGGATTATGAGTCTGACTAGTTCAGCACATTACTCTGCATAAAAAACTTCTAACACTTGTATTTGTAGGTATTGAACAACTAAATACTGACTGTGGCTACACGTTAACCGCACCGATATGGGAGTGGTATCGATATTCTCATCCAACTCTCAGCAACAAAAATAATTCTCTGGAGTACCAACCTGAAACAGTTGTTGTGGAACTTGTTATAGGAAGCCATGGTAATGAGACCCCCCCAGGCACAGCCCAGGGAGTAGAAGATCTGTGACGCTGCGTCTCCCCACACCTACAAACATAAACCCACATACACAGTAAAAATAAGGAACAAATAAAGTTCTAATTCTAGTTTATCTATCTGTCTGCTTGTTTGTGTGAGTGAATACCTTTGCATCAAGGACCTTCTCCCACTGTGGAGTCAGGTAGTACTTGATGCCGTTGATGGCTCCATCCAGGGTGATGCCACGGATGAACAGGATGGTCAGAACGACATAGGGGAACGTGGCTGTGAAGTACACCACCTGCACACACACACACACACACACCCACCCACACAGATAATCAGACGATGTGGTAAAAACGGTTGGAACAAAACAAAAATGACGAGAGTTAAGGATGTCTGTGTACAAGTGTGTGTGAAATATGTCATGAAAAGTAAATAGACATGTTGCTGAAACAGTTTGAATATTATTAGTTATTAGTGTCTACGTGTGAGTATGCATACGTGTGTGAGTGGCTGACCTTTCCAGAGGATTTAACGCCCCTGATGAGACAGAGGAAGACAACAAACCAGGACACAGCCAGGCAGCCTAGGATAGGGAGACGGACCTCTCCAAAGTTCCCAATGCCATCCGAGATGTTCAACACATAGTGTCTGAGAAAGAAAGAGAGAGTAAATTTGGGACTGGTAGCTTTTAAAACAAACACTGAAAAATCTACATCAGTCTAACTACATACTTTTACAATTCAGCAAACAACACTACTGCATGTCGGGCTTCTAAACCGTGAACTTGTCAGCACTGGACTTTTAAACACCCACAGGGCAATGTTGGTCTTTGTACTATTATTACTTTGTAGCTTTGTTACTGGGTTTTTGGTAGCATGTATTGCTCCAGTAGAAATTGACAAAAATAATTTAGATTCCAAAAACATTGTTTACTCTCAGATACCATTTAAGTGTGTCATTTGAAATGGAAATTATACTAAATGACAGCATCTACATGCATGCAGCACTGAGTATAATTATCTTCATTAATATAATTACCTTCTTCTAAAATCTTCATTCTTTAGATTACACAACCTACGCATCTTCTCACCTGCCTCAGAAATGTTTCTCTTCAAATTATTACAGTATTGTCAGTATTAACATAGAAAGAAGGATGAACACATGCCCCAACAATGTAGCTAATTGTCATACATCTAGTGATTGTATAGGGCAGGGGTAGGCAACCTGCTGCACCAGAGCTTCATGCAGCTCTTTAGCTCCAGTGGCTCCCTGTGGCTTTGAAACAAAATTAAACGGAAATATACGGAATGTTATTTTTGTAATTAACAGCCTGAATCCAATATGTTATAAATTTCCCGCCACTTTGTCATAAATCTTTTTTGCCACCACATTGTGGTGGCTATTACAAAACGTGCAGCATTTTGAATAAGCTGATGCTTTTTGGGGATCCCTGTCAAAAGACCACTGCAGTAGTTAACCATGCTAGAAATAAAAGCGTGAATGAGGTCGTAGGAGTCTGATTGAATCTTTTAGTTTAATTTATGTTAATTGTTATTGTTAAAAAAATAAAACGTGTACAGATGAAGATATCAATTTTGGTTGGTTATTACATAATGCAGGTGTTAATACATAATGAAGTGAATATATAATACATTTTCTGATTGTAAAAATGTGTAGCCATTACACACAGAATATAATGTTTCAACATTTCGTCAACTAAAATGTGCATCATGTGTTGTCCTGACCTGGATGCATTTTCTTCTATATTTTGTCTTAAGTCTTCCCTAGCAAGGCCAGCTATGTATATATATATATAGCTATAAAAAAAGGAAAATAGAGAATTTAATAGTGTGTGGGCAGACTTGTTTGCTTTCAACACCAACGCTGCTGGCTTAAAGCTATGATTGATCTACAATAATAAATTAGCATTATATGGGTCAAATATGTTTTGCGGCTACAGACAGTTTTGTTTTTCTTCTTTTGGCCAAAAAAATCTCTTTTGATAGTAAAGGTTGCTGAAGCCTGGTATAGGGGTTTGCTGTAATCAGGATTAGAGCTTATTATATGATTGTATAAATGTATAATGGACTAAAACTGTTATAACATTTATGTCAAGCCTGCAAATAAAAAGAGAATAAGCTGTTGGCCAGCATTAGCCAAATAAACATCCCTCCTAATGCCACTTGTTTAATCCGTACTGGACTTTACCAAAGAAAAACAAGGTCATTGCAAAAAGCTCAACTGTGTGTTACTTACAGAAATATGATATTTGCTTGTGCTTGATGGTAAAGTGATAAAGAAACAGGTCACATAAGAGCAGTGCAATTATATTATACCCTGACCTTGAATCATCCCAAGGCATAAAGGTGGAAGGACAGGTGCAATGAGATTGTATGTCATTAGTCAGTAAGCAAACCAAATACTAGACAGAAATGTGCAAAAACTAAGAAATAATACTGAACAAAACACTCTCCAACCAGTACACACATTTAGATAAATAAATAAATGTTTAATGCAAATCTAAAATTGTTTGTACTGAGCTGAAGATTAATGGTTCAGTCAGAACAATATCAGCTGCTGCTACACTATATGAAAGCCTTCATCTACAGTTGATTAAATTCTTACAGGCGGCTGAAAGTACCAAGATGGATGTGTGTTTGTGAAATGCATAGCCATTACACATGATGATCCACTGTGGGGAGCTTGATTAAGTCCAGTGCGCACAACGCCAGGCTGCTGTAAAAAGGACCACAGAAACGTGTGTGCTTCTCTCACATTAAATTGGTTTGTGATACAGTGGCTCTGTACTCTCCTGATTTAGGTGAGAGATAGTCACTGAGAAAGAGACAGTGAAAATATCAATTTTTTCTCTCTTCCCCCATCCAGATGTTCATCCATCTCATCCAGATCACCCAGATGTTTAATGTGACTGAGAGGATAATTGATCACCACATCCCACTGATTTATATTTCACCTCATCAACCCCTTTTTTCCAGTACAGCTGTATGTATGAACATGTAGATGCACTTGGATAAACCCTCATTCACCGTACAAACATGACAAAGCACTAATTGCTGATTTGTTAAGTGCTCTGTGGTTGCCGCATTAAAGCAGAGTCTTTACAGTTGCCAGAAAGACAGAACAGTGGTAATATGGGAAACCTCCTGCATGTCACTGGTGGTGACGCTGCCCAAAACCACTCAGGCCACTGTGCCCCCAGTCGAATCTAGTCCAAACATTTGAATGCTTTCCGCAAACATGATGAATGTTTGATGCAAGCTTATCTTACATGTGCAAGTCAATTTTGATCTCTGTGTCAAGTACGATAGGCCTACAAAACTGAGTGGAAAGAGGTTTCTTGCATAACTTGGCAAAACTAACAAAACAAAGTGTGCTATCAAACAGATCTACTACTACTAATCTATGATGTGGATGCTCTTTTGACCATTTTCCTGCATCTCAGGCTTGGGGATCAATACTGAAAAAAATTGTAACCTTCATAATAAATAATCCATTTTATCAATGTAATGTCCTTCGATGTGGACTTACTTCCAGTACTCCTCACTGGGACTGGTCCTCTTGGTGCGGTTGACAACCTCGGACACCCCTGCTACCAGGCTTGTAGTAGCGTTAGCCAGGCTGGCATTGAGTTGCTGGCTGTTGCCCACCACCCCGCTGCAGTCCGGTGTGTTCCAGGGGTTGTTGCAGTAGGTCCATGGCAGCAATTTTGTCATGGACAGGAAAAAGTAGTAGAAGGCAATGCAAATGACCACGTTGTAATAGATCCCAATGTAGGTGGACACTACCATCATGCCATAGCCCACACCTGAAGGCAGACGGAGACAGGATGGAGAGAAAGAACAGAAGGAGAACATTAGAACTTGAATGTGAAGCAAATAACAGCCTTGTACATGGTGGGTCACCATCAAGAGGGACACAGCTAATGTCCGGAAAACCGATATCTGGGCCAAGACTTCCTCTGCAATCTGATTAGGAACTTGATAAGATGAGAAAGACTCATGTCAACTAATCTCTATAAAAAGATAGCTGCAAATGAAAGCAGATAAATATAAAAAGCTTATAAAAAGCTAGCCTATGGGTTCTAAGACTGGATTTCAGCCAATGTTTTACGCCTCTTTTGCTCTCCACATGAAGTGTTTACCTGCATGCAACAAAAGCCAGCTCAAACATGATTCGTCAACAGTGCTCGGACTACAAACATTAGCATATGCAGATTCACCTCACATATTATTCACTATACAATAATATCATATACACCAAAGGCAATCTAACATGACAACAAGCTGCCTAATATGGATCTTTTATGATGAACTCATCTCTCACCTTACACAAAAACTCTGTCTTCAAGTGACCACTTGAAGCTGGGTGAAACTATGTGATCTTTCTGTGTGGAGATACTAGTGATAGTGCACTCACCCTAACCCTAACCAAAAAAGAGGCCCTATGACATAATTTCTGAGCAAAAAAGAATTTTGTCCGCAAAAATTGATGAATTGATCAAAGCACACAAACCAAATTAACACTAACCTTTAAACATAGGGCTGATCTTCCACACTCCCAGACACCCCTGGCTGGCGAACTGACCGAAGGACAGCTCGAGGAAGAAGAGGGGGATGCCGCAGAACACCAGCATGATGAAGTACGGTAACATGAAGGCACCTGGAGGGGGGAGACAGTTGGACAGGCACTCAACTCAGTCACTGTATTGGTCTGCATTCTAGGAAGACTAGAAGTTGGTCATGAATAGCGTGAAGATATTCTAATAATATTCTAAAATGTCCAATATGTGTAATTTAGTGTTGTAGTACTGCTGATGTGAGAGCATGTTTGTGTTAGCCCAGACAAAAATATGCAGATGTCCTTTACATTTTGTACTGTTGTCTGACAAAGATAATAAATACTGTACAGATAAACCTGGCCCAGACAGAGGCAAACACACATATTATTTAAACAATGTTAAGTATTTAAAGTGTGTTGGCTGACTTAATGGGCTGGGAGTGATAATGTACTCTGTAAAGATATGATCTCTAACAACAAGATATATGGGTAAAATAACATGAGAAAGACAAATACACCACGTTATCATTAAAAAGATTGGTGAACATGATACAGCACTAAAGAAAATGCCACAATATATACTGTATATAAATCTATGTTGCATGAAAAGTGTTGCATGTTTGTGTAAAAGCATGTTTGTGTAAAAGCAAATACTTCAATAGCAGTGCCAATTACTACATACATTAGACATTTGTCATGTGATTGAAAAGGACATTGCAATCCGTAAAACATAAACCTCATCTGTCACAGTAACCTCCCCTGAGTGAGCAGAGAGGTCACTGAATGTGCAGCTGAGTCTGTTCAGTGGTGCAGCAACTCTCTGGCGGTTCAGACTGGACCAGGAACCAGACAGACATCTATAGAGAATGTGTGTGTGTGTGTG